AACTCTTCAGAGGAGCTCCACCGATGGGGCTACACGCCCAAGTCACAAACATTATTGCTAGCAAAATAAAGGAATACTCTGTAAGTACAGAAATTTAATAGCAATAACAAAACTGACTAAAAGTCATTCTGATTTTCTATTATCACTGTGCTCTACAATTCCAAACAATTCTGCTCTTGATGCATGAAACACTGCTTTTCCTTCTTGAATGAGACTTTCTTCAAGGTCATCTTTGGATGCATCTGTTTGCATTATACTCTTTTAGACACAGCAGTGCTTTTCTCAGATTGCTTTCAGTATATTTAGCTTCTTCTGCTACGCGGTCTGTTGCCACAAAATAGATATTCCCAAAATAAGGCAAACAGAAAACAAGTCACTAGTCTTGCCTTTAGGCTCCCCGCAGCTGATCTATTTCCAATTACTGATGCACCATGCCTTGTTCTGCAGTGTGCCTGTGCATGAAAGTGCCAAAGCAGGGCTTTGAGATTATGGAAGCGCCAATACATAAAATTAATGATGCAGAAGCAGGGAGAGCCTTGCACTTCAGGCTTCAGATACAGCTTTCTCTACAGGAAGGAAAAAAGTAAGCAGCACAGTAGTGACATCACCAAATCTCACTCCAAATCTCCTGGGAAAAAAAATGCAAGACAAAGGGTATATTTTTCAGTGTACTGCTTAGGCACAATTTTTAGATATTCCATATAACATAAGACTTCACTTTTTGAATTCAGATCCATTTTAAGTAACACTTTCAGTGACTTAGAGATGAACGTATTGTACTAACAATGTTCTCATGCCAAAAAATTACATTAGACCGTCTGTCCTGTGGAGCAGGCTCATTTCAAATTGCCACTATTTCATTATCATTGGGCATGACACCATCTAAATTTATGAATTCCTCTAATTATACTTTTTTCCACAAGTACTAGATTTTATCCTTGTTGAACTTGAGATTTTTGGGCACTGTCCAGAACTTTTCATAGCATGTCATCATTTTCCTGTTTGGACATGGCTGCTGTGCTCATTTCATCCATTACGCAGATGCCATCCATATCTACAAATTCTTATGCATTTTTGATGAAACGCTTCACTAGAACATTAGATAGTACCTAACTGAATTTATATAGCCCCCAAGGCATATTAAAAGTGAACAGTATTAATGACTTCAGAAAGACTGACCTCACATAGCCATCAAATAATTCAGGATGGGGCATAATAATTGTGTTTCACTCACATTGAACTGTACACCCTTAGGAGTGGCAATAGAGAAAATGCCATGTGATTGTTTTGTCAAGATTATTTGGAGCCAGGTACAACCTTAGACTTCTGAGCTGTGCATCCCATGCCGGTAAAAGAGGGCCCTGCTCAAGAGATGAATGTCTGCTGTTCATGTGAATGAACCCCAACCTGGTATAGATTCTAACCTCTCATTATTCTATCCAAAATAGAAAAAAAATAATTGCTGGCTTAAATTGGCCTTAAAGCAAACCTGTGCTTTGTCCATGCTACACTTATCTTCTAGGATAGAGTATGGTAAGCCCTGTGTTAGCTTCAGTTTGCCTTAGTTGGAGCTTACATAGGGTTGAGGACTCTCTCCATCTTTATGTGACAGCACTGAACTGATCACGAAGAACAAAAATTGTCACATGAGAGGAAGGAGAGTTAGGCAGGCAATGGATATCACAATTTTCTTTCCTTCCACCACAGGTGGAAGGAAAGGAAAATCACTCGACTCCCCCATCAACACAGTCAGTGTTGATGTGGGAATGCCTCCCACAAAGCAATTGTGTTCTGCCGGCAGGGAGTCTTGATTACTGCTAGCGACACATGCTCTTGCATACCTGGAAGTACTGAGTGTTCTCACACATGGCAGCTGAATGGAGCAGTGGGGCAGAGCAAAGGAAAGGTATGTTCTGCTGGGGAAGGGGGGGGGGGTTTAATGTAAACTTGTTGAATTACCCTACATGAAGGAAGCACAGATTTGCCTAAAAGTAACTCAATCAGTAGTAGTATAGAAAAACACACTGCAGACTCCTTTTAAGTGCTTACGTGAGGGAAAATCTCCTCAACGGAGTCACACATAAATAGAAAATACAGAAATATTAACTCTTCCCTACTCAAAAGAAAGAGTTGAACTAACTGTAGGCTTTATGCCCTAAACTGCAACATTAACCCCAACAATTAGATCAAACCTCATAAAACCATTATCCTAACACTAATCTAGCTAGCTATAGATGGATTGAATCTCAGCTGGTTCAGCAGGGACCAGTCAAGATTCAATCCACCTATGGGCAAGCTGGTTGCAATGAAGTCTATCCATCAATTGACTTCAGTACAAACAGCCTTTTGGATTTTTTGCATATGATTACTACTGGCGGCATTAGCCACTAGCTGTAATCATTGTGTTCTCCAGCAGGGAAGGCTCCCCACCAGCAGAACACAATATCGCTGCATGGTTGCAGGAAAAAAAATTGCATCATCTATGGCTTTCTTATCTCTAAAATAAACACTGAACTAACCACTGCGGCTGAATACTTAAGAGTACACTTTATCATGTGTCAGGATTCTACTCGCTTCTGAAGCTCTCCTGTTGATTGGACTTTTGTATGATATGTGTTGGGGTTAGTTCCAGAGTGTCAAGCTTTATCTGTGAGTTTGAGCAAAGCTCAGGCCCTCTCTGGAATGGCAATGCAGCTTCAAAGCCACTCCAGTCTTGTCTCTGGCAGTATAATCAGCCTTCCCAGTTCTTCCCTTGAACTTCCATCACCCAATCACCCCCCTATGTTGCGAAGATGAGGAGAGCGGAGGTATTCTGAAGTTTTAGCAAAACACAACAGGCAGGGCTTTCACCATTCCTTGTGATTAATGTGCAGCAAGGCACTGTGTTTTTAGCCCACAGCGGGAAATTAGGTGCTGAGTACATTTTTTTCCAGGATAAACATGTATTTTTATGCACTTGCTTGGTCCTAAATGGATGATACATAAGGAAATCGTACGCGTATTGCAAAGTGTTTTTTTTTATTTAATCACATAATTTTGGGACACCTTGGGTGTTTTATGTGGGGGTTTAAAATCCTATTCACATTATAGGCTCATATGAAACAATTGGATGGAAACAATGGCTCTTAAACAAACACAGGAAATTATGTTTCTGGGGGGCATTCTGTACACATTCTGTGCTCAGAACACCTCTAGGTAGCCATATTGCATTGCATTTTACAGAAAATTACAGCACTGTCAATTGAAAAATTTCAATTAAAATATGACTTGTGTTGCAATTGTATATGCTACATTGCCTTGAAAAAGTATTCATACCCCTTGAAGTTTACCACATTTTGTTATGTTACAACCAAAAACATAAATGTATTTTATTGGGATTTTATATGATAGACCAACACAAAGTGGCACATAATTGTGAAGTGGAAGGAATATGATAAATGGTTTTCAAAATAAAACAAATAAAGATCTGAAAAGTGTGGCGTGCATTTGTATTCAGCCCCCTTTACTCTGTTACCCCTAATTAAAATCTAGTGGAACCAATTGCTTTCATAAGTCACCTAATTAGTTAATAGAGTCCACCTGCATGTAATTTAATCTCAGTATAAATAAAACTGTTCTGTGAAGCCCTCAGAGATTTGTTAGAGAACGTTAGTGAACAAACAGCATCAAGAAGGCCAAGGAACACACCAGATGGGTCAGGGATAAAGTTCTTGAAATCTGTCCACTGGACAACTATTAGTTTTGCGCTCCACAAATCTGGCCTTTATGGAAGAGTGGCAAGAAGAAAGCCATTGTTGAAAGAAAGCCATAAGAAGTCCCATTTGCAGTTTGCAAGGAGCCATGTGAGGGGACACAGCAAATGTGGAAGAAGGTGTTCTGGTCAGATGAGACCAAAATTTAACATTTTGGCCTAAAAGCAAAATGCTATGTGTAGCGGAAAAATAACACTGCACATCATCCTGAACACACCATCCCCACCATGAAACATGGTGGTGGCAGCATCATGTTGTGGAGATGCTTTTGTTAAAGCAGGGAAATGGAAGATGGTCAGAGTTGATGGGAAGATGGAGCCAAATACAGGGCAATCTTAGAAGAAAACCTGTTAGAGTATGCAAAAGACTTGAGACTGGCGTGAAGGTTCACCTTCCAGCAGGACAACGACCCTAAACATACAACCAGAGCTACAATGGAATGGTTTAGATCAAAGCAAATTTATGTGTTAGAATGGTCCAGTCAAAGTCCAGACCTAAATCCATATTGAGAATCTGTGGAAAGACTTGAAAATTGCTGATCACAGACGCTCTCCATCCAATCTGACAGAGCTTGAGCTATTTTGCAAAGAAGAATGGGCAAAAATGTTACTGTAGATGTGCAAAGTTGGTAGAGACATCCCCAAAAAGACTTGCAGCTGTAATTGCAGCGAAAGGGGGTTCTACAAAGTATTGACTGGGGGGCTGAATACAAATGCACGCCACACTTTTAAGATATTTATTTGTAAAAAATTTTGAAAATCATTTTTAATTTTCCTTCCACTTCACAATTTATGTACCACTTTGTGTTGGTCTATCACATAAAATCCCAATAAAATACAATTGCAACATGACAAAATGTGGAAAATTTCAACGGGTATGAATACTTTTTAAGTCACTGTATATTTTTTTTTTATTTGATATTTTTTTCTCATGAAATTGGAGTTACTCTTTAAGGAATTTTAGTATGGAAGAAATTACTTTAATGGCTCTCCTCCAAAAATAATACATCATCCATCTATACTGTGAATCATTGGTCTCCAACATGGGGTAACTGGTCCCCTCAAGGTGTAAAATGTCCACTCTTTATATAGCGTTATTCCTCGACGAGTTTGTTTTTGATTTTTTTGCACAGACACGTATTTTAGGTTCTCCTTAGCCTTGTACACAATAATAAAGATTTAATACATTTAAATACAGATTTGATCCTGTATGCTCAGGAGCTGTTAGAAATGGCACTGTGGTATAACCATGTTCTGCTTAATAAAATTATTTGTGATACTTCCTTCCAGGTCTCTCTCAGGACGCATTGTGGGCGGTGTCTGGTGGTTTTTCACACTCATCATCATCTCATCTTATACAGCAAACTTAGCGGCCTTCTTGACAGTAGAGAGGATGGTATCCCCCATCGAGAGTGCTGACGATTTGGCTAAACAAACAGAGATAGCATATGGAACCTTAGATTCTGGATCTACAAAAGAATTTTTTAAGGTTTGTTAAAGTCATTAATATCTGAATGCATTCTATAGCAGGTTTCTGTGTATATCAGTGCAGTCAGCACAGTGATGCTTATGCAGCTGTTTTAATTACATGTAAATATGTTGATTTCATTGGACAGGCTTCTTTTTAAGGCTGGCCATACATGGGTCGATTTCCAGACAATTTTTAATTCGAAAATCGGAGCTTAGAATAATCGGTCAATTTTCATTCTGTTAATGGGGCAATTTGCATGGTTCCTCCCCATTTCCATGCTGGAAAATTTGTGAAAAACGACCGATTTTTTAAATCGTTGATGGCAACATCGGATTACAGAACAAACAACGTTTTCGATTTTTGATCGAAAAATCGTTCAGAGTTCGACCCATGTATGGCCTGCTTAAGTAATGTGTAAGGCCCAGGGGCAGACTGACAACTCATGGGGCCCCCGGGCAATAGGGTATCATGGGGCCCCTGTGTCCTTGCCCAAACTCAAAAAAGCCTATGAAAAAGGTACCAGGGGCATCTCATGGGGCCCCCGACTGACCCCGGGCCCTCGGGCAGTGCGTGAGTTTCCAAATGGTCAGTTCACACTGGCTTTGAAAGCAGGCATTTGAGAGGCATTTTTAATGCTCCTTAAAGGCATGTGGAAATGATACTATGGGCAGCACACAGTGCTGTTCACATTATCAAAACATGAAACGTTAGCATACTGTCAGGAAGAGTTTGAAGCCTCTTAATGCCTCTCATTCAAGTCTATGGTGACGCTCCTCAAATGCTCTGGCAGGCGTTTGCAGTGCAGTTGCTGCACGTTAATACCATTAGAGTTTATTATAAACATTTATGGTGCAGTTGTAACGCTTGTAAAACGCCTCAAAACTGCTCATGAGGTGTTTGGGGAGCATTTTTAATGCTTGTAAAACGCCCATAATAAAGCTCATTAACACCTGTCTAACGCCCATTCTAATGCTATAAGGGCATTTTTGAAGAGTTATAAATTTAGTCAAGTGTGAACAAGGCCTAAGTGTGCTACTTACAGGTGTTTATTAACTCTCACAGAGATCACAGTACTCTCTCTGACAATGTCTCTATCTGCCTTTTACTCCAGAAAGATGCAGCCATCTTTGTTCAGGCATTATTCAGGGTCAGCATGCACTTCATGTACTAAGAGGCTGACTCAGAGATACTGTTACATATATTCTGGTGCCTGTGCAGTTTTTGGCTGTGTTCACAAAAGTCTGATACAGATCAATTCTTGCTATAATCTCTCACCTTGCTAAAAAATTACGTTTTGCTGTCTGTTCAGTGAGGGAATTGTTTCATCAAAATGAAACAGTTGTATCTACAACACGAATTGAAATTTAATGTTCCAATATGGACACCTGTTCCAATGAAAATTGTCAGATAGGATTTCCACTTATATGGGGAGACTTACACTCACTTCCTATTGTGTCTACATGACAGAGAGTGAAAGCAAATCTCAGCACAGGGGACACATTTAAAAAAACATGATAAACATTTGCCCAGACTATCCAAAACTCAATAAAAAATCTGACTGGAGGTCCTTTTCAGGATTAAAATTGAGGCACCATCAGTAAGTTCTCTGCTTCATGCATCTGTATTCTTTGAGGGTAAATTATACAAACATTTATTTATAAGATGTAGTAAGATGTGCTGATAATTGACATGTTAAAACAACCTTTTGTATTTATTTTTTCTTGCATTTTTACAACCCATCAAAAAACATTTGTATTTCTTTCTCCTCATCATTAAACCATACATATCAAGCTTTGCATACCATTTATGCACCATAAATATGACACAAAATAACTATTTTCTCGGCTTGTCTTGTGCTATCAAAATATCAAAAGACTTTTTACCTAATTTGTAATTCCAGTTTTTTTTCTTTTACTTTGCTTTAAGCAGTTGTGTACGGAAGCGCCTCTTCAGATATTATGCCATGAAAGCATTTTAACGAGACATTAAATTTCTCAAATAGCTGTTCACTACTTTCTGTACTAAAAGCTTTTTTGATAGCATCAACGGTCACAAAACGTATATATCTTGTCAATGTTTTTTTTAAATGGTTGCCAAGTCTCCTTTTTTTCTTGTTTTGTATACCTAGAGATCTAAAATAGCTGTGTTTGAAAAAATGTGGACTTACATGCGTTCGGCGGAACCCTCGGTTTTTGTTAAGACCACTGAGGAAGGGATGAACAGAGTGAGAAAGTCTAAAGGCAAATATGCATATCTCTTGGAGTCCACGATGAACGAATATATAGAACAGAGAAAACCCTGTGACACCATGAAGGTGGGAGGTAACTTGGATTCCAAGGGCTATGGCATTGCCACCCCAAAGGGGTCACCTCTGAGGTATGTAGCTGAGCATTGCTTTATTGTACATTGATATTGCTCTTTGGCTGTAGACCCTGGGAGTACATGGAAGTCAAAACTTATCCCTTCATTGGATTGTCCATCTCTTTGTATACTCATCCATCTGCTTGTGTCATTTCATTCAACAGTGTAAATATCCTAAAATAAATAAAGATACAACTAGTTAGTATATTTAACTTCAATGACTGGAGGACCTGAACTGTGAGAACGATTCTAAGGGCAAGGTTCCCTTCAGCTGCTCTTTTTTCCCATTACTGACCCAGTATATCTTGTTCTGCACTGCACATCTATGTCGAGGTGGCCATGTTTGTAGAGTCAGGGCTTTACTTTGTCATACAAAACCTGCTTCCCTGATAAGTGGTGATCTAATGACTAGTGGAATAATATTCAAAAATCAGGGCAGGTACAGGAATCACAAATCCACAGAATGAAGAAAGAAAAAGCATTCATGCACTGCAGGTCCTCGGGAACAGCTTCTTCTTCAGCAAGAAGAACAGTGAGCACAGCTAGCATAGTAGTGATATAATCAAATTTAAGGTAAGATCTCCAGAGACAAACAGTCAGAGGACATAGAGCCTTATTTGATCTAACACTGCAGATATACAACTATTAGCCAACAGAACATAATTGCTGAGGCACAAACACATGTCAGGAACAACACTAATATTTTCCCAGAGGATTTAAAAAAACCTTTCTTCATTCTTAAGTTTAATTAAGATTTTAGAATGTTTCCGATAAAGATAGTAGATCCGTACTTTTTAATTTCAGGTCTACTACTATAATAGATTTTGCATTTGACCCTGGCTTCATACCTCACCGTGTAATAACATGGAGGTTATTTTATACAGTCTCATTTTCAAAAAAAAGATTTATTTTTCAACTGTCATGTATGTCACCTTGGCCTGGTTCTCAAGCTGTGTGTCTCCTCTCTCTTGAGTATCCTGTAAACTAAACTACTAGAATTATGAAGGGTTATGATTAAATCAACATTAGTTAATCAAAGTTCAGCTTTAGCCAAACCTTTGTTTTGTTTTGGATCTAGACGAGAAATATTAGAACACGTCAGAATTTTTATTGCCCTGTGTGTTCCTGTTAGGAAGGTTTCCTTTCACTTCCTTTCCTCATAACAGGATAAGAAGTGAGCAGGAAATTTATCCACATTGAGAGGAAATCCTGCATTTCGTGGAGGTTTCACTAGGAGGTTTCTAGTCATCTCTTGTCCAATGAAAATTGTGAGTGAGGGGATCTCTACACTTTCTATTCATGTGGTAGGAATTGGGGATCTCCCCAGCAAAGTCACTGATGGCACTGAACACCTCAGAGAGGTTCCTAGCCTTTCCCAAATATACTATAACAACCCATGCAAAGCCATTTCTTGCCTAAGCTTTCCCTGATTACTTACTGGACATGAGGGTCATCTGGGACAACACGCATGCTATTCTTTGGGGAGAAAAAGTTTGGGAAGCACTGGCCTTGCTAGGTTCCTAACTGAATAGTTATGGTAAATGGCACTTGAAAAGCACTGTTCTTCTATCTGAATGAATGATTGGAGGAATAGAGAAATTGTCAGGAAAGATGACCCTTTTGTCATTGCACAGTGCAGGGATCTGTTGTTGATTTGGAAACCACTAAATATCTATCATCACCTTAAAAATGTGCCTAGCAGTGCATTGCAAAATATATTCTAAAATGTATCAAAATTAAATATTGAAGTTGATATTGCACTTAAAGGTAAGGTACTCTTATTACCTTAAGCCATACACCCCCCCCCCCCCAGCCTGGGGGTAACTGATACCGGAAGGTTTGTAACATTAATGCATAATATGCATTAAAGTAAGAAACCTTGAGCCTTTAGAACTTTAAGAGTGGGTGAACCACAGAGGGAAGATAAGTAAAAGCACTTGGTAGTTGTGGGGGGTGGGAGCAGCTTTAACACGAACCTGTTTTTATTTTTCACGCACACAAAAAAAACTTTACAAGCTATTTTTATGTCCTTTTAAAACAACAAACCTACCAATGTGTTCTAGCTGATTTGGCATCATATTGATTTTCTACAAGTAGGTTATGGACATTTGTCAGAATTAAAACAACACATAGCTAAGTTTTTTCTACAATGCTAAGTAAATGTATTTTTTTTCCGATCATTTTTGGTCTTTGACAATAAAGTAATAAATGATTCATCAGGATCTTAATAAATTAGATTCTACATAACAAAGCTGCTCATAATATGTCTTAAAATGTACCGATTTGTCAATACACTGTATAATGCAGGAAAAGCAGGGTGCAGAAAACAGTAATAGCAGTTTTGCTGACTGGGCATTTTAGTCTTTTCAGTTCTGTCCTGATACATTTCATAGATCATGGAATTGCTGTAACAACATGCACAAAATGGGATGTTCCTGATTGGGCCTAAGGGCTCATGTACACTGCAGCTGCTAAACTGACGTTCAGGAGCTGTTCAGTGTTTTTTTTTCAGCAGCCCCTGAACTCACCCTAATGTTTTCCTATGTGTCTATATACACTTAGTCGTTTACAGGCAGTTGAGTTTACAGTCATTTTTCTGAACCCACCAAACTTGCATTCAGGAGTAGATTTTACTGGTGTTTCAAACGCCAAATGCTTGTAAACACGTGTAAACACTTGTAACCACGGTTAACCGCATTTATAAGCGTTTGCGTTTAGAAGCGTTTTTAACTGTTCCATGTCCTGATGCTGTCCAGAGCCTTTTTTCATCATCAGAAATGCATGCAAAGTGTTTTCCATGTATTCAAATGGACCCGGTACACAAGCGCAGTCAGTTCCAGGTTTCGTGTGAAGGCAAAAATGGTAGAACGTTCCGCATTATGCTCATGATGGGATCCATGGTGAATACAACCAGAAAAGACAGGTCATCTCAACACATACTGCTCTTTCTGCTTCCGCTCTCTCTATTTCTCTCAAAATGTCTGAAATAGTTATTTACTATTTTTCAGTGCATTCTGGGCATTTGGGAGGGTCTCCTGAGGTTATCTTTTAAAAATGCTTCTAAACGCAAACACGCATAAACGTGGTATGCAAACGCGGCTAAACTGACGTTTTTGAACCTGCGTTTTCCAGCAGTCATTTTCAGAGGAGCAGCAGTTCTTGCTGCTATTGTGAACAAGTCCTAAAAAAATTTCTGAAAAGACAGGAATAGGGGGTCAAGATATAGTAACATACATACACACATATAAAAACAAACACACACAAGAACATGTATACACACAGACACACACACACATGTACACATGCATACATCTACACAAACACGTACATGTACACATGCATACATCCACACAAACACGTACATGTACACATGCATACATCCACACAAACACGTACATGTACACATGCATACATCTACACACACACAGAGAGACACATGTACACACAACACACACATACAAAAACATGTATACAGCCCTATGAAAAGTTGCAGTAACTTATCTTCACTCACACAGCCGGGTTCTGCACTGTAGAGGAGGGGGGCAGGGCAGAGAGCACAGAAGACACTCCACTTCCCTTTGCTTTCACTTTGCTCAACAGTCTGATGGCACCCATTGCCGATGAACAGTGTAGCTAGGCATCGGGAGCTCGGGCTCAACTGACAGCCTTTCTCTGCCAGGACACCATGGCACCTCAGTTGAGAAAGGCTGGTCTAGATGATCCTGGATGTCCTCCAGCCAGGAAATGAGACAGGTTCTATCTGACTTACAGCAGCTTCTAATGTACACTGTGAGAAGCTCACAGTGTTCAAATAAATCAGATTAAGCAATTTCAGTACATAAGAGGAGCCTCTACAACTGTGCAAGGATGAAGTTCAGCTATAACACAGCACACCTTAGCTCATGATAACATTTGAATGGTTCTTAAGGGTTGGCAACATTTACATGGAGGTTTTTCAACAAGATGAAAAGACCAGAAGTGGCCCAGCCATTGCAAATGATGCTCTAATTGGTCATCACTTGCCAGTGTAGTCCATTGTGTTTCTAATTACTAACCCCCACTCTTCAAAAGTACTGATCTTGCCACATATATTTTGCTGCGTTCTTCTTCTGCACAACTGTATTAAAGCTAAGAATTATGATGAAACCGAGAAGGGAATGTAAATGCATCCTCTGCTTGACATTTAACATATTCCTCAACATGAACATCGCAGCTTCTAACACTTACAGACACATGTCCTTGTCCTGTTCTGCTCACGAGATGTTCTCATAGCCCGAGGCAGTAAGAAATAAACTGTCTTGCTGCAGCAGGCAAAAACATCAGACGTGTGCCCAAGCTTGACTGAAACAATAGCAAATGGTTGTAAGGGCTGGAATTGCCTTTTAATACAAAGCGTGGTCACTTTCAAAGACACTGTTGCAATGTATATATGTTGCAGAATAATTCAGTGTCTTTTTTTTATTTTCTAACAAAGTTTATGTAATACAAACTTATACAGTTATAGTGAGAAATTGTAATGTAGAACAAAGCATGGGAGTAGTTTAGACTTTAATTAAACACATCTTATGAGAGTGCATAATAAAAAATATAAAATTGTGGCGCTAATCAAAAAACATATGATCAGGGGTGGACTGACAACTCATGGGGCCCCCGGGCAATAGGGGATCATGGGGCCCCTGTGTCCTTGCCCAAACTAAAAAAAGCCTATGAAAAAGGTACCACGGGCATCTCATGGGGCCCCTACTGACCCCAGGCCCTCAGGTAGTGCCCGAGTTTCCAAATGGTCAGTCTGCCCCTGCATATGATCATAAAGTTCAAATAATTAGAAAAATATTTCAATTATAATGTCCCAAACGGAGTTCACATGATCCACCATCACCTAAACACCCGAATGGTTAAGCCTCTTACCAGACGTTCTGACTGAAACACACTGGTCAATATAGATAGATTTCAATCTTGCTCTCAAAAGATTTTTACAGGCCTTGAAAAAAAGACTCCCATCCAGTATTTAGATGAGGAATAAGAAAAGAAGACCACTCATAGTGTAGT